TCATTTGGTTAAATAACTATTAACTTACACCGCCACTTACACATACATACAAATAGATAATATCTCATTATAATAAGTGAATATTTTTTCATAAGATCCTTGTTCTCTTGTGCCAAGAGATTATCATTTTGAAGAAAATCGAATCATCGGAGTATCGAGTATGCAATAAAATTAACTCGTACAGTTGGTAAACAAGAGGCTTTATTATCAAAAGTTGGTCATTCTATTATAACATAACAAAAATGAAAACATATACAATATAAACGAAAACATATACATATAATTAAATCATCAAATGTGTAGCTTAATCTACGAGGTTGAATATTCATTTCTCAAGATTTTTGTGATTTGCTGTCCTCCTCTTCTTCCCCAGAATGTCACTGTGCTTGAAATGGCTTGAATGTTGAACCACGAAAACCTAGAGAAAAGAGTGCAATCATCAATTGAAAAATGTTTTGTTTGTTTTGCAGAGTGGCTTGTTGAATGAGAATCATTAACCATGTACCTATAGAACTTGCTTCAGGAGAAGCAACATTTCCATTCATCACAGTCAGGCATTATCAAAAACAAACGAAATTTCAAGACAACCAGATATTTTCGGGTTTCAAGAAATTCTGCGTTTGACAAAAGGGCATGTATAAAATGTTATAGCTATGTAAAAACACGAAAGGAGGAGACATATCATTATTGGTTCAATCATTATAATCAGGAATCAAGTAAAAAATATACAAAGAATGGACAATTACCTACCTATACCTATTAGTGCGTTCATCGAATGAATGCGACTGGTCAAATCGTCACTGCTGATGTAGTTATGGTTTCAGGTATGATTGATATCAAGGTTCTCAGCATGTTTTCGATAAAATAAGAAGGAAAAACACCTGACTAGGTACAACTATGTTACAAAAATATACAAAGTTCTTACCCCCGCAGATTGCCCTCAAATATCGAATGCCGCATTGCTGTGAAGATGATACCACACCCCTTTTTTCCATAACTCAGCACATTTGATTCTTGAACCCTTCACCAATGAAAAACAAAGGTGCTTTGCACTGCCTCCAGAAGGAACAACAGCGGCAATGAAGAATGGCAGCTAACGACTGAGGAGTCGAATGGGCTCAATCATACCGCTGTATATACGTCACTGCAAGTCTCTCAGACCACCAGAGAATTTCTTGAACCAATATAAATTGGAACTACTCAAAAATGATCCCATCGAATAATATTCGAGCTTCAAAATCTTCATGGTTTAACATCTCAAACTAACTGAACGATTTCAAATCGTGTCAGAGATTAACAGAATATTTCATCTGTTAAACTGACACACTTTGTAATTGTGCACCAAGCTATCGATGTATAACACGCATATCCTGAAGTACTTATAGTATTACTACTGAAAAGACAACTTTCAGGGGATGGAAGTTTTAAAAATTGTTTTGAAAGATATATACCTGTTCCGCATTGAGAACGGTAAATTCTCATGTTCATCAAATGGATCGTAGTAAAAATGTTTCAATTAGTAGTTATAAATTTTTTTTTGAATAGATACTGGCACTGGCACGGGAACTACGACTCAACGTCTTTTCTGAAGCACAGCATATCATCCTGACCATTTCTCAAGCCCATTGAATTAATAGCCTTCCCACATTACTTCTGCTCCGTATCCAAATAATATGTCAACTAACAATAATAATTCGTTAATGATATGTTATCTTGTCATTCCGATTTACTTAACCGAGCATTCTGATCATTATAAGCGATATAAAAAAATTGGATAATGATGTGGTCACTTTTGTAATAAGTGACAAATTATATTCCTGTACGTGTTTGTATTAGTCATATAAAAACAGATGAGGTGATTATAGTAATGAGCATTGTTTGTTGAATTTTCGAGTAGAATACCTACTTTGAATTCATTTTGAGAACTCAATGGACTAACATTCAATATTTCATATCCAAAATATCATTTCTGATTGGAAGGCAAATATTTCCAATTAAATTTTCTAATCATTGGCACTGATTGAAACTCATGAATGAATATTTATTGACAATGTTTTTTTTTACATTTGGGAGTGTTTTTGCATTTTAAGATGATTGGGTTTCCAAGATTGTTCAAACACTGTAATTATGATTATTCTGAAGGGATTGCTGATCAGAATGACGCAAGTAATCTCAGATAAATCTGTATCTATTCTACTTTGATGTCATACGTCCTATGATATGTATTCTGGAAATAAGAAAATCTCTAATTATCACTGATAATACCATCTTGATTTTTCAAATGCCTGTTCTGAAGAGATGAGTTTCATTTTTCAATTCTGATCAGTTACTTGTCTTCATCTCTCGGAGCGCACGAAAGGAAATTCCTATGATGTTCGAAAAACTAGTATAGTGGGAGGAGACCTCACCTAACCTAATGCTCAAATTAGGATACCGTCTCGTTTTATCTAAGAGGTGAAGAGAAGAACTTTACTGCAATTTCCCAATATGTGACAAGAATCAGTTGTGGTGAAAACGTCAACAACAACAAACAAAATAGAAACATTTTTCTTTCAAACGGAAGGCGATGTTCTGGAAAAGATGGAATAGTCATATTCATAGCTTCGATAGTCAATGGAACGAGCTTTCAGAAACTGAGAGATAATTGTAAATCGGTTAAGGAAATCGGAATTTATAATGATTAAAATTTGATCGAAAAAATGCGATTTTTCGTTTCATGTGTTGAGCAGTTTATATTTTGTTGATTTCGCAGAATTTTTTTCAATTGCCAAAAAATAATTGACCAAAATAATTCTGATGGTGCAACAAATCCTTTCTTTCTGTGTATAAAAAAATAATCGACTTGATCATGTTGGTACGCCTCTGGTGATTTTGGATAAAATCTGATGGGTCCAGTAGATGTTGTAGAATTGTTCAAATTAACCATGGAAGTTTCATTGAAATCGGCTCAAGTTGAGAAATTAATGAAAAACTCCTCATAATGAGAATGAAAGAGGTCCGTAGATACAAGCACTTCGTGACCATTAAGTTGTGGGTAATCAAAAAGCACATCCCAGGTTGTTTCTTGCTTACTCAGTGCCTATCGATGAAATGATGAAACATCAAAAATGTGAATTTAATACCTATATTATGCCATATTTTATACAAACTTAATAGTCCAGTACGTGGAGGTTTCTTGAATGCAAAAGGTGGGGTAAAAGCGGTTCCTTAGTATGTTGATTGGTTTGGGGCCCTAGTGAAAAATCCAAGTTTCTGACCACGAAGCGCATGCGCTCGAGCCGCCATCTTGGATTTTAGGTAAACAAATTTGCTTTTATGATGATAACTCAGAAACCGTGGCTTTCACGACGAAACATTTTCTATGCAAAGTTCAAGAGAACATTGCCTAAATTTTTGTTATCAAACATTTCTTGTAGGACACATTATGTTAGAAGCTGCAACTCCGCAAAATTCCACTATTCGAAAAAAAAAAAAAACAATGCAGAAACTTAATTTCGGCTGAGTTATTTCATTATTTTTATATATCATTATATTTTTACAAAATAATGGAAAAGAAAACTTCATTTAAAATCATCAATTGACAATATCATACTTTCCTTGAACGAAGTTAAAGGCGAAAAGTAAGTATATCGCTTTTTTTAATTCAAGGATAGTTAATTATGATTTCAGAGCGATACAAAATTTGATTTTCACTACATTTTGGTACGTTTTGATGGTCCGGTTTGGTTATTGTCGGTGTCCTGGTCGTAGTTCTCTATGTCCTGATCCTGATCATAGTTTTGGTCCGTAGCCGGTTTATTCTACGTGAAGTCCATTCACAGGAAATTTTAGATATGGTGTAATGGATTCATTGGAAGTCTAGTTTTCCCCAAATTCAGTATTGCCGAAGAGATAGTATGAATGGAAATTCTGAAGTTATTCCCTCATTCCACTATATACCTATTTTCAAGTAATTCTCATTTTTCACATATTCATTGTTAGAGAAAATTCGGTAACAAGACTGTAACTATAATGAAATAGAAAACACTAATCAGCTGCCTGAAATGGGCATTGCGTGATCGTTACGCGCATTGCATTCAGTGGAAAAGGGAATTATTTCGAACATTGATTTCATATAATATCCCCTTCTTTTACTATACGATATTTTTTTCGCGAAGCAGTGCATTTAAAAATAACACGATTGTCCCCTTCTTTGCCTAGATTCATGTGGACACTTCCAAAGAACAAAATTGCTCTGCTAGTTTAGTTTGGCCCAAAATGGTAATATATTTCCTTCTTCTCCCAAGAGATTCATTTATGACCCCTATCAATAACTTCTAGACAGCCAGCTGTGATCTCGCTAACTGCCTATTTTTTAGGATCTAGGGTAACCTATTAATATTAAATCAAAGTAAAGTCTATTCCGAAACCATCTCAAAATGTACAGGCAAATATCAAAATTTAATACTTTTTTTTTCAAATAGTGCAACTTCATGAGCTGTAGCTCCTAACATAATATATTATGTGCCCTACAAACATGTCTTACATAAATGTAGGATATGTTGTCCTCTTCAACTTCGTTTTGTACATCTCTTGTCGTGGAAGCCACAGTTTTTGAGTTATTATCAAAAAACAAATGCGTGTACATAAAATCCAAGATGGCGGTTCGAGCGCATGTACCTCGAGGTCGAAAACTTGGATTTATCATTAGGGCCCCAAGCCTAACAACATACTGAAAAATCGCTACTACCCCACCTTTTGCATTCAAACATCCCTATTCGATATACCCACGTACTGGACTATAAGTGAATTTCCTTATTCCTACGCTTATGTTATTCCACTAGTTGACCTCAAGAAGGAATCACATGCATTAAAATCGAGGAAATGTGGCAACTGTCAGAATGATGATTTAATTTAATAAAAAAAAAACAATCGCACCTGATGAACTAGGTATTGTGTGTAAATATAAACCATACCATTGAAGCGGAGTATCTGAAAGTCATTTTGTGGTGTTGTGAACAATGTCTGTGGTGCTGAAGAACTTATATCATGGGTATTTTTGGATTTTCGATGAATTATCAGGTGAGACTTTTAGAGATATTATACAAGAATACCTGACATTGTGCTCCTCATTAAATCTGGCACTAATTCAGATACTATACAGGGTATTTCCGGAGTAGGAACGATAGATGAAGTGAAAGTACTTTTTGAAATACAAAAAATTTGAGGACAAATATTTATAAAATAGTAAATCGTTTAACGAGCACGAAATGATAGTGTTTTCCTACGAGAATGAAGTTTGCAGCATATGAGCCATAGGTGAATGCTGCAATCATTCTAGTAGGAAATTAGCATTCCGTGCAAGTTATACACTATAATTTTTCTACGGCTATAATAAATAACAGCGGCATTTTCGATTTCGTCGTCTTGTAGCCATCTGATTTCCTGTCAAATAATGCTCATCTATTAGACAGAGCTGTCATTGCTTCACATTTGACAATCCATGAGCGATGAGATTTTATTGAAATAATAACACAATGGAGTCATTGTGATATCAGATACGGAAATAATATTGATGACACACAAAGTACCTCATTGAAGTATCGAACACAGTAAAACAAGAGCAATTTTGTGTTATAGCCGTAGAAAAATTCGCATGTTGCATATTGCATGAAGTTTGCAACTGGAGATTATTATCAGATTACCGTGTGAGTTCTCTAAGTTATCCGTTTTTCTGTCTCAATGAAATAAACTCAAATTGAGCTTTGATTTTATTTTATTTAGGATCAAAAACAACATGAACGTACCCATTTCCCAATATTCATCCATTGTGTAACAACAGAAAATGGTTATTTCTACCTCAAGGTAGTAAATATATTATATATGTACAGTGTGACCCAGTTAATACCGGAGCACCCTTATAAAATCTATAGTTTTTAACCGATTTCTTTTTTTTGTTTCAGCAGAAGGACTATCCGGAGATCTACGTTCACACAAATTTGCAAAATTAAATTTCAATCTACAGGGCATACTATGTTATTTTTTCCATGTTAAAAATTGCGAAATATCATTAGCGATTTAAAAAAAAAACGACCCCACCACTGAATTCAGCAACCTTCAATTAGCTCGAGCGCAAAATTTCATTGAAAAATTTCAATTGGCAACAAAGTTATAACAACATTCATTTTGATTGCCCACCATTTTTAATGAATATTTCAGACAAATTCTGAGAAGCGGCAACATTGTCAACACCAATACTGGAAATCATTGAAATTTCTGGTAAAAATTTGAATTGACAACACAAATTAGTATCGAGTTATAACATCTAAGATGTAATTTATCTTGTTATTCATGAAAAGATTCATAAAATGAAAAATCCATAACGTCGAAAAATCGGCTTCTCACAATAATTATTATATCATCAACCAAGAATTTTCGTATCAAATAGTAACTTCATCTCAATTTTATCATTCCCAAATGTCCTACCAGCCATCGTACAAATAAGTTCAATAACATACATCATTGAATAATCTCGGTCCATCATTATCTAGCCCTAATCAATACATTTAAAATTTGTGTTGCTTTCACTAAACCACCATTCAATTGAAAACATTTTTCATATCTATTTTTCACAGTATTTCCTGTGTCCTTCGGGTGTTCCCTACAAGTTTGACATATTCTTTCACACAACTCCTGTCTAGTTCTTGGGCGGGTTTTGTAAACTTTATGTTCAAGAAAACCCCACAAGAAGAAGTCAAAAGGGGTTAAATCGGGGGACCTGGGTGGCCATCCAATTAATCCACTTCCTTGACCAATCCAGCGACGAGGAAACTGTTCATTCAGCCATTGTCTGATAATCGTAGCATGATGCACTGGGCAGCCATCTAACTGGAAATGTAGATCATTCCAAAAGGGTACTATTCTAGAGATTATAACTCGATAATAATTCGTGTTATCAATTCAAATGTATACCAGAAACCTCAATGATGTCCAACATTTGTGTTGACAATGTTGCCGCAAATTTGTCTGAAATATTCATAAAAATGGTGGTCGATCAAAATTATTGTTGTAATAACTTTGTTGCCAATCAAAATTTTTCAATGAAATTTTGGGCTCAACCTAATTGAAGGATGCTGAATTCAGTGGTGGAGTCGATATTTCTTTAAAAAAATCGCTGATGATATTTCGCAATTTTTAACATGAAGAAAATAACATAGTATGCCCTTTAGATTGAAATTTTATTTTGCAAATTTGTGTAAACGTAGATCTCCGGATAGTCCTTCTGCTGAAACAAAAAAAAAATGAAATTGGTTGAAAACTATAGATTTTACAATGGTGCTCCGGTCTTGAATGAGTCACACTGTATATGATAACTACTCAGGAACCAGAATTATATTCCGAGGCGTCAGCCAAGGGATATAAGGTCGCGTGGTGATGAATATTATGAACTACCAAGGTGTAGATAATAAATTATTTCCACCACTATAGCAGTATATTTCAATTATTATAGTTTTGTGAAAATGCAATATACCTATTGTCGACATATGAAAGCACTTATTCCCAATAACAATCAAAATCTAGTAGCCATGAACATCATAGCTCATGACAAGTCGTTATTGATAAAATTACCTATACCAGATTCGAGTCGAATTCCTGCGAATCTCGCATCAATATAGTGGATTCGGGTGGTTACTCATAACTGAGTTGGAATTGTCTTTATATGAAGTTGTTCTTCAAAAAATTACAAAAGCTACATTGTTAGAGTGAACAGACTTCACGCCTTGAAGAGGAGTAGGTTCTATAGCTATTGTGGTGAAAAAAATAGTGTTTCCTTCTTTACAGATGTCAGGACCAGCAACTTACTATTCAGTTCACCATTTAGCATCATAGCAGTGATGGTTATTTATGTCCATGCCGTAAAAATATGGGGACCAAAATTGATGGAAAATAGACAACCGTATAATATCAAGAATATCATTATGACCTATGATATTTTACAAATTCTATTGAATACTTACATCTCTGTACAAGTGAGTGATGCCAAATTAAATATCAGTAGATAGTAAATCAAAAGTTAAGTTAGGGACATGTATGCCATTTTGACCAATAATGAATAGTTTCGACCCAAAAAAATCCTAAAGTTGAAATATCTCGATTTTGCACACCCTATATCTCTGTAATCATTTTCGCTAGACCCAAGTGTGATGCATTGATGGAATCAGCTCACAAAGGAGAATCTGAAAATGCAATGAAATACAGGGTGTCCCATAAGAAAAAGTATAACTTTGATACGTCACGCATTTTTGAGACCCTGTATAAAGCGAAATATTTTGGAAAAGTGCTCCTCATGAGCCTAGATCATCACAACAATTTTTGTTCATCTATCTCAAACATCAAAGGTGTTATCTCACTTTCCCATTTCAATGACTCACCCAGTATAGGGATTACCTTTCGTACGCTCCATGCTATGACAAAAATCAGGTATACAAACATCATACCTATATCAATCGAAAGATCTGTCAATTATCTATCATTCAGATTTTGATACGTAAAATCATCCATTTTTAGCGACCTTCCATGATACAGTACGAACTTTTCGATAAAAAATACCATACACAGTACCTACCTTGATATGCTATGGCCGAATATAAATATTCTTATAACTCTGATTACCGCCGTTTAGTATAAACTATTAATATTGTAAAACAGCTATGTTTTGAGGAAAAAAAAAGAAAAATAATCATCAACACGAGAAGCGTTAGGGATATGTATAGGAAAGTATCAGACAAATACATTCGGAAAGTGATTACGATTCCAAAAATCCAATAAAGTCTCATTTGACATATGGATGATGATGCTACTTTTTGGTGTAAGCGGCATCGCTGCATCGCTGATGATTTTATTGTTCGTTAGATCTCGTGCGGATATTGAAGAGATCGAATTTTCAGAAGTGTCCGATGTCATCGACCGTGAGACACCCTGTATAATCATTCATGTGTAGCTTGAACTCATTATAATTCAAAATTTCTGTGTCAATGAACGATGTGATTACTAACCTCATTCCATTCCAAACAACGAACAGTAATTTTTATTTTTATGGAATACAATGAACAAAATCGATTCTCTTTATATTTTTTCAATGTCTTTGAGCGTGAAATAGAATATAATTCGATTCTTACCATTGGGATTTCTGAAACTTTATAAGAGCTATGGAGATGGTTGAATTGGGGCAAAGTTGCGCATTTACCTAAAGGTGTCTTTATGCACACCGCTTTTTTATTAACCTATTGCTTTCATTACCCGTCATTAATTTTTTTTGCAAACAAGGACTTTGATGCCTTCATGCACTTCCTTTTTATGCGTTTTCTAACTTCAAATTATTTCTTCTTCACATCCAAGCAATGTCCTCAGCGTACTCAGCCCGATGAAAATATTGGTGTTTTAACCTCCACTGCTCACATTATTGAAATTACACTAATTTGTTCATATTGTTTCCAAAGTCTTATTTGAACAGAAAACTAGAATTTTGTGAATTTTCAATTACATTTTGAAACAATTAGAAGAAGAAATTGTATGTCTGTCTTCTGACAGCATCGCGCCAGCGCATTCGCAAGTATTACTTTTACTTGCATTTGTCGTTGAGTTATAAGAATTGGACATCGTTTAGCGAATAGTTAATGGGAGATGAAAATTAATTTGGGTGCATAAATAATTAAACCAAATCAGTGAAATCGTTAATGATTGTGAAACTATATACAGATTGATGATAAAGCGGCTTGCATAACTCCACCTCATCTAACAATATGCCTTCTGATTATAGGTAGAAGTCTCGGTAGAAGTCCATATTGCTCAAAGTTGAGTGAGATTTTTCAAAGGAATAAAGAAGGAATGCTCAAAGCTATATTCACAAATTTCAATGGTACATGTTGTAACACAATGAGAAGGGGCATGTTTTGGTCTTATAAGAGACCACCTTCATCCTAATTAAACATTCTGAATTACAAAAAGATTGATGTGGAAGAATTACATTATTTGTTCTTGACCTACTCAAAGTTGGAAAAGTGTGATGCTATACTAGCTGTAATATAGATGTCAAATGCCCATATAGTCGAAAAATCGGGTTTATAAGTAATTGAACATTTTCTCAATGAATGAAGGGTCCGGTGCCCTGAGAGTGCATACAATTTCTATTGTGGAATGTCATATATCAAAATGTTATATGAGGGGTAATTGCCAAATAAAAATTGACAACACCATAAATTAACAGGTTTTTACAAAAGGAGTTCCCCGTGTCCTTATGAACACAATTGAGTAAACAACGAAATACAGAATCATAAGGAGATTTTCAGGACATAGTAGTATTTTGCTAGACTATTTCACGTTCACCAAGCATATAACAAGCATTATAAATGAGTTATTTATTCTGACAAGTACAGCCATAATTATTTTATGCCAAACTAACAGACTTTGCTACGCCATACATGGTTACATCCAGACTTTGATTTGCTATCCATGGTTACATCGTTGAAAACATGAACGCTGTCAGACCAATCACTATCATCCGTTACACACACACACACTAGATTCTTGAACACTTCACCATTGAAAAACAAAGGTGCTTCGTACCGTCTTCAGAAGAATCAACAGCTGCTATGACGAATGGCGGCAAACGACTCGAATAGGAGCAGGCGTACCGCTGCATAAACGTCACTGCAAGTCTTTTAGACAAGCAGAGATTTTCTTCAACCAATATGAATTGAAATTAATGTCACTTGTAGTCGCGGATTTCTTGAATGGGGAAATTTACTGTTCATGTTGACCAAATTCATATCAAGAAACGAAGCAAGCAAGCCGATTCATTTGAGACAAGTGTATATTGCTCCATTCAAATGAAAAAAATCTTGTACAAAGCAATTCAATTTCAAGAAAATGGATTTTTCTAATCGAAAAAATCTTTTTTATCAGTGTACAATATTCTGTGAAAGCCATTTTTGCCTATAATCAGTGACATATAAAATAACCGAATGTCCTTAAGTGTGAAAGATTGAAAGTGAAACATCAAATTCAGAGTCTTGGATAATTCACTCTTCATTACTACATCCAATTTTCTCAAAACGAGAATAACCGGTTCTATTCAAAATAGAAAAAATCCAATATGGCGGTCATTGCGGAAGAAATGAAATAGATGGTGGCCAGGAGAAGAAACGTTGGTTAGCAAATCTGAACGCATCATGCGATGCATTTTGAAATTCTACGATGAATAAAGCCAGAAAAAATGGAATCAATTTTCCAAGATTTTGTTTTTTTTTCTGGATATCTCCGGATAATTTGCTCATGGAATCTCAAAACATTCTGAACGGCATATTAATTAAGTGAATGCAAAAGTTTGTCCCAATTCAACCACCTTCGTATCTCATTGATGGAGATCGAATTCGAAACACCCTGTACCTATCGGCGAACCTTTGGAATTATTTTCCAAAGAAAGTATTTCCAAGAGCTTATAATCTCCAAAAGTTGAAAAATACGCCATTTACTATACCCTTCTCTTGCTATATCCGCCATGGTACGCAAGATGTTTTTGAAACATCATAGGGATTCCCTTTCGTACGCTACTATGGAAATAAAAAAAGTCCTAAGTGAGTCCTGAAGATTGAGTTGAATAATAATTTCATTTCAGGCACTTCGTCAGGTTGCAATCATTCAAATCGATTGTGGAGCTATAGATTGGTCTGATAACCCTAAATCTCTAGAACAACTATCTATTATGAAATACTTTTTCGGTTTGAAGTTGGTGGATCTGGTAGAAACGGTGAGTGCAATCATAATTCTATATCTAAAGAAGGAAACACAAGGAAACAATCCTGAATCATTGAATTTGCTTATACTTATTACACTTTCATTATTTTCAATAATAGTTATTCATTATACGATGGAAAAGTAATTGATTTCAGCTCCAGGTTGTCAAGGAACCGTGAGCTTAGATCTAATATTTTGCTCGTGTATATAAATACACACTTTTTTTATGACAGAAATAAGACGAATCAATATTGACACCTAAGCTGTAGGCATCTTTTTGCAGGCATCCTCATCATTCTTTTTAAGTAATCAAATATCTGTCGGTCTAATTCTGTGATTTGATTTTATTAAATTGCGATTTCAGTGGTTGTTTGGTACCTAATTTACGTAACTGCGGAGTCGAATGGAAAATAAAAGTACTTGTAGTTCTTCCTGCGTTATTGGCTTATTTTCAGGAACTATATAGCACAACAAAAGCCATCACGAGTGTATAAGTATATATATATATATGTGATAAACAGGGTTTTTCACTAGAAACTCCGCATGCCAATATCTTGAAAACGAATAGAAATATTCAATTTGTGTAAAAAGTACCTACTCAATGAATAGGGTCAAGGAGATTTTTTACCGAGTTGAAAAAAGTTCAACGATAACTAAGAGCTAAGCGTTGCGACGCGTCGAAAATGTAAATCGATTGCGTGGACTTTGAAACTATCGCATACAACAGTGCATGTCATTTACAACCTTTTTTGTTTTTCACTCGAACTCATTAATTTTTTTCATTTCTGAGTTGAACCGGTTCATAGTAAATGTTTCTTGATTGACAAAAAGTGCAATTACGGATGATTTTCACAAGAATGTAATGAATATCAGTTACTTCGGCAACCATTATTATCGCAATTGTTTCAAGTGCCATTACAAGCGACAGATGTTGTCATCACTGTCAGAGATATTGCTCTCAGACAAAAAGTCGGTACTGAATACCAACTGTTTAGTAAAATAGGCGCCAGTCACCACATTCATCAAATGATCCCACAACAAAATTGTATTATTCTTTACTATAAGTATCATACTTTGTAGTGGTAATATGTGTTATAGTATAGTATTATACAATTTTGTAGTGATATTATTAAATGAATGTAGTGACTGCGTCGATTTTACTAACGATTTTTTTTTCAGTTCACTTTTTGTAACAAGTAATATTCAAATTTGTTCGGTTTGAACAAATCTAAAAATAATTATATGAAAATGGTTCAATTTACTAATAATGGAAAAGTAGACATGTTATTGGTTGCTGCAGGTCGAAGTAAAGAGAAGCAAAAACAGTTCACGCACAGCGTTATCAGCATAATATAGAAGAGTCCCCGATGCAAAAACCATTTCAAGTTTATGTAGAAACATTTGGCAACTTCGTCGAACCTGGAAGAAATTGAAGGAAGACTACTACGAATGATGAATATACTGCTGCTGTAATTTAGCAGGTCCAAAATAACCCCAAGATACCACTATTAAAAATAAAATAAAGTACCGGTGTTTCCATGAGCTCATCATGAGGAATTTTGAATAGAAACTCTTTTCAACCTTACAAAGGTGAACTAGTTCAAAATTTAGAACCCGGTGGTCCTGCTAGAAATATGGTTATCTTAGCAAGATTTTAAGATTTGTATAGCCAAGATGCGAATTTCCTCTTGGAGATTTTATGGAGCGAGGAATGACGATTCCAAAATAATGGAATTATGAACAGACAACTGTCGTTTTTGAATTATAGACACAGATAATCAGCGAATTTTTGGTATCAATGTTTGGTGCGGCATCATGAACGGATTCCTTATTGGGCCTCACTTTCACGATGGAACTTTGAATGCAGATCGCTGTCTAAGATTTTATCGAACTACACTTCCGGAAATATCAGAAGAAGTTTCCTTGGAGACTAGAAATACTAGAATGAATATGTGACTACAGCAGCAAATTGAAATAGACTGAAGTTCACAAACTATAATTCACTAGGTGATTTTTTTTCACATGAAAAGAAAATGTTATTTTCTCTGCATTTCAACAATGATGCCCATTTTATGAGAAAGTGTTTCAAGAATCATATTCTAGTAGTAGAAATGAGGTAGATCTTGAAACTAAAAAAATTAGCGCATTTGTATATTATCGGTTTCGAGTTTAGCACCTCCCTGTATATTGAATCATGTTTGTCGTACTACGAAATCGAAAGATCAAAACATCCTCAGGTACCACATTTCGTGATTCTAGTATCGATGATAACAAATAACAAGGATAATTGAAGAAATCCGCATTTATGGAACTACCTTCAGTGGGCTCTAGTATTTTTATCCAATTTTTGTCTGCAGAACTACCTCCCGGGGTGTACGAAAGCTATTCTGGTATACCCTGTACATCAACATCTCTAACATTATCCAGTCTGTTTTGTTTTCGTTGGCAGACTATATACTATTTTTGTTTTATTACTTTAATTTTGAATTTTTCAGATTTTCTTCGTGCTGAGAAAGAGTTATAGGCAAATCAGCTTCCTACACGTTTATCATCATGCTGGTATGGTGTTATGCTCCTATCTGGGTTTCCGATTTTTCGGCGGTGGCCTGAGCCTATGGCTTCCCATGCTTAATGGATTCGTCCACGTTGTTATGTTCGTCTACTACTTTCTGACTGCTGTTGATAGCAGTTGGAAACAAAGCACTGCTTTCAAAAGGACACTCACTCAAATACAACTGGTGAGTATTGTGGTATGGTATGGTGAAAAGCTGTTTCCTAAAGGAAATATCGAAAATTTCAATTGTTAGTGGAACAAAATTATACTACTGATACCACCGAGCACTGGCCTATACCAGAGATTACTCTGCCTATACACTACCCCAAAAAGTTAACGCACCACCAAAAAGTAGCCAAAAGTTCAATACACATTTTTGTCCAAACTATATTGTCCGATTTGAACGTTATTTGTTTTGATTGATTCTGTAAAAGGTGTGCAAACTATTTCTGCATTGAATCCGTTTTTATATTCAGGACGATTCACGGTGGATGGCACATTTGACGTTTCTGGAGAACGCAACGTAGGATTATACTAAAACTTTGGTTTCATGGGTATTAGCTGTGTTCTATCGACCTGAAATATTCTCAACACTCAACACTGCGACGTTGCCGCTTACATTGAAAAGTAGCAACATCTTTGAGTTCTTGAATGAGACATCCTACATATAATTCCATTTTCAGATTCTTCTCAAAGAGCTGATTTCATCGATCGATACACTTGGGGTCTAGCGGGAATAATAACAAAGATATGGGGTGTGAAAAATCGACAAGAATTTCAACTATTCCTAATCAGTCAAAACGGTTTTTATGTCCCTATCTCAATTTTTCATGTACTATCAATTGATATTTAATCGAAATAGAAACAGGGTGGTTGAAGATCTCAATTCTGAACCACTCCGTACCTATTTCAATTGAATATCAATTGATAATGAATAATAGGTTGGGATAGAGACATGAAAACCGTTTTGACCAATTATTAATAGTTTCGACACAAAAAAAATCACTGCTTCTTTGTGATTATCACTGCTAGACCCCAATTGTTATGAGTCAATGGAATCAGCTCTTCAGAGAGAATCTGAAAATGGAATGATATACAGAATGTCCCGTGTGAAAAATCAAAGTTGTTGCAACTTTTCAATATAAGTGACAACGTCGCAGCGCTGAGAATATTTTAGGTCGATAGAGCACTACTAATTATCCAAGGCACCAAATCATCAGAATAATCCCAAGTGAGTGTGATGGTTACACTTTCAAATTTGACTTGAAATTACAGTTGCGCTTCATCTTAATTCAACTTTTCTTTTTTGGATTCATTATTCCATCTCCAATCACTCGAGAAACAAAATTTTGATATTTTATGGAAAATGAATATCTATCTTAATTTAACAACGAAAAAACGAAACAGCATGCGAAGTCACAGGTTAAACATCGTACATTATGTACGCTGGGTTAAACGAAAGGGTTAGTAGCGAATATTGAAAACTTCTTAGCAAAGACGGCCGATGCCCGGTCTTCTCGAATTTGAATCATCAGTCACTGCTGTGCGTTTCCCAAAGTATTCAAGTTACGTCCCTCTTGTAATCTTGTTCCAACAATGTCGCAGAAATTCTCAATGGGATTCAAATCCTTGCTCCGAGCTGGCAAACATGGCCTATACTAAAAATGGAAGACCTTATTATGTCATAAGATTTTGATGAAATACGTTCTGACGAATTATATGCAGTCTCATGATCAAGTGTTACCTATTTTGTTTTTTGTTTCAGATACAATTCGGTGTATTCATTGTTGTATACGGAAGTGTGTTCTTCAGGAAATGCGAGTATCCCAGCTTCGCCTGCTATCTCTTCGTTCCCCAAAATGTGTTCATGATATTATTATTTGGTGACTTTTATTTGAAAACTTATGTGTTCAGTAAATCTAAGAATGTGAAAAATGCGAAATGACGTTACACAAAAAAACAGACTTAAGTTTTTATATGTAGACATTATTACCTATTGGGTAAACACATAGCATTGCTTCAGGTAGGTATATAGTTATCAGCTGATTGGACTCTGATTTCTTCAGGAAACAACTAGATTCATCGGAATATCTCTTGAAGTGTTAGAAAATGTTATCAATTTACTATAAAATATTGTGATTTGAGACCACTTATCGCACTTAAATAACTAGATGTATTGACTAATTTACTGTGTTCCGGTGGTTCCGGCAACCATACGACCGAGTGGGAGTGATGAGACTGGGTGAAACGAAACAGTACTGTCTCGCTCTTGCTGATTCTATTCACCTTATGTTATCTGTTATTTGATTGTTTATGGAAAAAAACGTTAATATTTGAGATGACAAAAATTGATTTATTGAATTATGTATCATCTGAATCAGCTTGGGTATGATAGTCAATCGAATACATATGAAATTCTGGTAATAACTATATATACATTTTGAAGGGTTAATTTCACTTCTATATTTCATGTTCCCAATTATAGAGTTTGATCGCCAGACATGCATAAATGAGACCTTCATATGAATTCTTGCCAGGTTTTTTGAGTTTCTCAAAGAAATGAAGAATGACAATTTTTTCATTACCTATACGTGAAGCAATTGCTTTTGAAAATTTCCAAAATACAGAGAGCCTGCAAGAAGAATCAAGTGACACCTTGTTCTGAAAAATGTTTGGAGAACTTCAGAGTGATCAAAGAAATATCAATATTTTACGTTTCGGGAACGAATCTGCTCCTGTTTTTGACAAAAAACATGTAAGATATCATTTTCATTGTTTCTAGTTCTCAGTTTTGACACTTCTCAGTGACAGTGAGTTTTCACATACACATGAGTTTCAGGATGTTTTCATCGATTCATCTTGGATTTTAACATTTATTTTCATGTTCATATTTCAGTAGTGGATACCATGTTCAATCTTAATCAACTGAATAGGAAGCGATGCAATCATATTAGTATGAAATTCAGGGGAATAAGACGAACACTGCCATATTGTGAACGTTTTTGTTAATAAAGGGATCATCCTGCAATGCTGCAGTGACATCAAGAACCTTGGTAATAAATCTATCGCTCCCTAAAGAAATGCCATGTTTTTTTAATGTTATTTGGATACCATTTCTTGAATAGGTCTTAAGGATTTCCAGCAGATAACATGTTCAAGAATGTTTGGTATTATTTGCAATTGAAGAGGAAGAGATTCTGTATATAGCTCAAGTGGTCATTGTTTATATTCTCATTGTATCTTTCAAATAAATCCATTCTTCTTCTTGTTTGATAGTGTTTCCGATAACTGCGAATTCAGAGGGTGAAAACCTGTTGCATAAATGCATGCGCATCCAAAATTATTCAGGACCCTTCATGCGTATCATCCATGATTCTTGTCCAGACCTAGTACAGCTTTGAACAGATTATAAACTATAACTATACCCAAATCAATGACACCTTGATGATGATGATAATGAGATGATGAACATATGGAAGTCATTTTCATCGATATAATAATATATGAATTACGAAGATATGTATAGTGTATCCCATTTTGTTCATAATTTACACGGCGTTTCTGAAAATTCACACTTCACATTCACACGAAGTTTCTCGGCGATATGTCAAAATGAAATCTTATCCGATATAGAGAATTTCACGCTGAGCTCAGAGGCACACTCAAATTTTTGGAGATACGACTCAAACTTATTATTTTTTGAATAGAACACCCTGTATTTCATCATATCATTAAATTCCTCATTCTTGTTCCTGAAAAATGATATAGTATGTAAAGATGTAACATTTTCAAAAATGCTCCTGAATCAATAAAACATTGAATTTTGATAGTCGGCTATGGATTTTTTATAAATAAGCAATATTATAATATATGACTAATATACAAACGCAAATCTTGGGTACCAAAGAGTAAAAAACAAATTGTAATAAAAAGTACTAAAACACTTCCTCAATACCTACGTCTTTTAATGCATGCATAATCATTGAAGAATGTCTATCTGATTCCTGGAAAACTGCCTCTGCTGTTGCTCGAAGTTTTTCGAGGTTATTTTGCTCCAAAGTGTGTCAATTGTGTGTCAGGGAAATTGACATCAATTTGAACAATACAATGAATAAGTAACTGAATAACTTCGAAATTCAATTGTTCTATGGTAAATATTCAATCAGGTGCTTATTCTACATTATGAACTTCTTATTACTATTTGCATTCGTTGATACTAGGTACCTACGTTTTGTGGTTGGTTAATTGATTGGACTAAGTATTATTCTCATCTCATCGTGGAAAAATCAGAACTGATTTTATTTCTTCAATTGATATATTTTTATAAGAAAAATCCATTACCCACTATTAAAATTCAATGTTTCAATGATTTAGACGCATTTCTGAGAATTTTATATTTATTCATCATAATATTATTCTGAAGGAAAGAAATAGGGAATTCATGAGCTGATAAATACACGGTGTTTTTTCGAAAAAATCATAGGTTTGAGTCGGAACTCCAAAACCATACTTCGATGAAACAAAAATAACTGCCACTTGACATGAGACCAGATTTCAATTTGACATTATCACTGAGAAATTTAATGTATATGAATGGGTTCCAAATAGAGTGAATTTTCAAAAAGCGCCTTGAAACTTATGAACGGAATAAGTTATCTGTCTACGTCATCTTGAGTTTCACAAGAAAGTGGCAATTGACCGCGAACACCGCGAGGTTCTATCTTCAAAAAAAAACCGAGATACCTGATTGACTGAACCAAAATGGGATGCACGTACCGTATACATATCTCTCATAAATTAAAACCGAAACTGAGCAATTGGTAAGTAATAGTATATTATGTAATAAGTGATATAATAGTTATTTCTGTACCAAGGGCGTAAAGTAGGCATTCATGGCCAGCAGCGTGAAAAATGGCCCGATGGCGTTAGCCGAGGACCATGGGTATAGTCTACATATTAAAATCACCGTACGAATATCGCAATTATCGTATGAGTTAAACTATTTGTTCAGTAACCAGAGATTCATTCTTCGAGATGTAACAATATGTATACCCAGTATATAGCTACCTGAATTTGACGTTGTCAATCAATCTGATGGTTGCTGTCTAGCAATACATCCAAAAAATGAGCTGAAATTGCCATCTTCTGGCTAAAACCTTCAGACAGCCAGAAAGCAACTATTCAAAGAAGGAAGTTATAGCGAAGATGGAATCGGATGAACAATCATAATCATAACGATAGAATCAGCTGAGAGTTTAAATATAGGTATTCCACAAATGGATGTGTGGATATATGGCCCGTGGGCGACAATGAGCCCACGGGCGGTGAAGTACCACTTTATGCCCGCAAAACTGGGCGATAAAGTGCACTTTACCGTCCGCTAGTGCATAAACATCATTTCAGTAAGGAGTATTAAGCACGAGCGTAGCAGAGCAGAGCGAGTATTTATTAAACGAGTTTATAAACGCGTTAGAAACATACTATACATTTTCTACGAACTAAGAATTTGATTTCTTTCCAATTCACGACAGCGCATGCGCCAAATAATAACTGGCCGCGATGGAAAAAGATTGAACAGCTGATGGAAGGTTATTGTATGAACACTCATATATTTTTAATTTAAAATCGTTTAAGTCCCAAATTCTTCATAGTTTAGTTGATTTTAAAATAGCTTGTTTACTGCCTCTGACGCAGTAGATAAAATCTCTTCGATTCGCTGAAGTGCCAAAGTTTTTGATTCCTCTGGTTTGTATCTATATTCCGATTGCATAGTTTTGCTCACATGAATATTGTGTTTCACGTTTATTGTCATACTCAACACAGATTCAATTGCCCACAATGATGAGAGTTTTATTTTTACCTAGAGCTAGTTCTTGAAATATGCAAGTAGGCACATACCTTCCTAAAACATTTTTCGAAATCACTTTCGTCTACATTTCGTATACATTTTTCATGAAGAATTCTGTTGCGAACAGAATTTGTTTGAATAATTCTGATTGCAACAAAATTTGAAAATGACAGTTAACAGTTCCCACAATTGACAGGCCAGATAGGACTGAAGGTGTGTTAAAAGAACTCTGTTGCTGTGGTAATGTATATTAACCCTTAACTACTAATCATACGTCTCACAGACGGTATATCAGCATCCGATTTATTGGATCACCCCTGCTTTTCAATATCGGCATCTGTCTTACCACGTAATTTATGTCTACCCAGCCCTCATTCAGTACCCTGAAGTTGATCTATGTATGTGGTTAAGTTTTAGAAATATCTCGAGTGAAAGATAGATTGCCGTCTCGTAGACGTATAGTTAGTTATTACGTAACAATAAAAGTTCAATTTCGCCTATGATACGTATGATTGCGTCTATTAGTAGATATACAGGCATTGTCATCTTTTTCAATTCGCATGTTTATGACTTAGTTCTGTGCCATATTTCATTTTACTAATACTCTAACTGTATTCAGAATGACAATAATATCATCGATAATTTTAGTATTTCAATTTTCAATGTCAACATTTTGAACATTAGGTACTCCTCTATGAAATTTTGATCGGCACTGAAATTTGTATTTCTATTCCAATTTTGATAATCATTTTCTCTTCGCCAAATATGTAGAGAACGTGTTTGAATAGCTCACAAGAATAAATTTTTGTTTTTGATTTATATGGGCGTCTGTGACACGTATGGTTAGGGACAACGTTATATATTTGGAACGTTAGTAGTTAAGGGTCAAAAATTGTGTTGACATGGTATAATGTGTTTGATTTTTTTAATAACTCACAGATCATCAATCCGTGAATAATCGATAATTTAGCGTGATACATATCCGTATACGCTATAATCAATTTCAGTTATGTGAGTAAGAAAACTACTTATTCACCAACAGGTAACTCCAAAAATAATCACATTCCTTGCTACCTGCTACCCCTGGACACTTAGTC